AACTATTAAACAAACATAAACAAACCTAAATTAACATGCAAAATTTAGTTATAAGCATCTCACTAGAGAATCTATGATCACAAGAGASATGAGCAAAAAGTATGATGGTAACAAAACTCAAAACAAACATATAAATAGATGGGAGAAAAAACATATCTAGACTTTTTATTACTTGGTGAAAATTATATTCAGCGTTTTTCTGAAAAAAAAAAAAAACACAGAAGAGATGAAACATCCACCCATTCAGCCATTTTTATCACCCGCATAGAGATAAAGCATGTTGTATTAATATGTGAAACTTAAATTAAGAACAGTGAAGAATAGAACATTATTAACTAACTATTGAAGGCACGTTAATCTATATGAATGTCACGTTATAATCAGAGTGTTCTGCCTATTCACATCACTTTGAAAAAAAAGATGATTGAGTTTTTTCAAGGATCAGGGGCTCAGATCTAATTTGAAAAATGTAYAAGACATCATTGTTCTTTATTTTACTTCTGAATGCAAATGATACAAACTATTCACACTGATTTAAATGACAAATTAACAGCTTTTGTCCATAACGAGGACATTTGGAAAAAATAATACACTTGCATAATCCTTTAATGGCTTTAGATTTTCCTCAACACTTATCTTTTTTTAAGTAGTGATAATCTTCTTTTGACACAATTCTGCTGATAGACAAATAGAGGACAATGAAAACTTACTTTGAACTTAGTTTGTCTGAATGAAACAGAGCACTGTCTGCCTTCTAAATGAAAAATATATTTACTTTATATTTAAGTTTGAATGTTTAAAGGAGATGCTGTACTTTTGCAGAAGGTTTATTTGATTCTTGCTGTWTTTCACAGAATGATGACATTTACAAAAATAAAATGCGTAATGTTTTTATTAATGTTACTTTGTTTTTATTAATGTTATTTCTAGAGATTTTATTACCTTTAGGCCTAAATACACCACCAAAAAGTATTAATTTATTGCCAACACATATTTTAAGTTTTATGAATATGGGTGCAGATCCTGCATTGAGAATGTAAATGTTTCCAACTTGGTTGTCAGAAATTATTATTATTTTTTTTAGTTGAAGATATTTGAAGGACCCTGTGAAACTAGTTTACATCCTTCCATATATTACAAGCTAAAATAAAAAGACAGATTCATGGTGGTCAACGAAGAAGAACCAGGATATAAATCATTTAAAAGACTCAATAATAAAAGGGGGCAAACAGCCTCTGAAAAATATTACTTGTGAGGAGTTTTTCAGTTTTTGAGAAATACTGTAGCTAAACTTGGATCATCGTGTTTGATGAGGAGATAATAAGGATGGTGACAGTATGATCACTCTGATGATTTGAAGCAGGCATCACCAATACAGGCGAGTGGATTTCAATAACAACTTTGTACAAAAAGACAGATGATGTGATGTGAATAAAGATATCTTATTTTCATTTGTTCTTAAATGGAACAAAACTGATTTGTGCTTCAAAACTGTCACTTCTATACAGATTTTCTACATGCATGTTTGAGGTAAACATACTGTATATTTATGATCTGAATCACTCTAAAAAGCAAAAGTTTTTACAAACAAAGAAATAATTCACTCCCTAGTGGCTGAGTCTATCAGCCGACTTCAACAGATCTGCAGCTGAAGACAGGAAAAGAGCCCAACAAACAACTGAAGCTGTAGCAAAAACCTATAAAAGCATGACAAAAGAGCTCRTCTTCACTGGTGATGGGTTCAGAAAAATACAGAATAGTATGAAGTCTGTTTACTTCAATTCTGATTGTGCAGAAAATAAGATCTCCTGAAGAAAGTGTTGAAAGAAGACAGGTAACATTTCTTCACACATTGTGTTGGTTTATTACAAATGTTGATATGTCGGACACAAAAACCTTTCTCAAAACTTTTCAGAAAGCAAAATTACTCATCTATGGACACAGCTATCCAAAATACTAACATTTTGGATAGCTGTGTCCATAGATGAGTAATTTTGCTTTCACTAACCTCTAAACCGCTACACAAATTACTTTGTTCTGCTACCGCTAAGACACTACACAGATTTAATGAATAAATCAGAAGAAGCAAATGCTAAATCACTAATATTTAACATAATAATGTGCAGTCCATCATCTGTCACAAAGAACAATATACTGCACCAGCGATCAGTAATGAGCGGTGAGGTTCATGGATGGTGAGTTACATACAGTTCATCAGAATCAGATTTACAGATATATGAACCCTACAGAACTTATTTACCATATGACTGGTAGAAGTTAATTGGTTATGTTTCATATCTTGTATTAATATTCTTACACAAACTGTAGCTCATTTGATAGTAGTGTTTGTAAAATATCTTGTGAATTAATGGATGGATATAAATTGGACTTTCAGAACTTAATTACTGATGATAAAGGTTGACATGTACAATCCATGGGTGCATAGGAGTTCGCCCAGCCAGTCTACATGTGTTTTGTGGATTTGGAGAAGGCGTTCAACCGTGTCCCTCGGGGACTCCTGTGGGGGTACTCCAGGAGTATGGGGTACCGGGCCCATTGATACGGGCTGTTAGGTCCCTGTATGACCGGTGCCAGAGATTGGTCTGCATTGCCGTTAGTAAGTCGGACTCGTTTCCAGTGAGATTTGGACTCTGCCAAGGTTTCCCTTTGTCACTGATTCCGTTCATAACTTTTATGGACAGAATTTCAAGGTGCAGCCAAGGTGTTGAGGGGATCTGTTTTGGTGACCTTAGGATCACGTCTCTGCTTTTTGCAGATGATGTGGTCCTATTGGCTTCATCAGATCGTGACCTCCAGCTCTCACTGGAACGGTTCACAGCCGAGTGTGAAGTGGCCGGGATGAGGATCAGTGGCTCCGAATCTGAGACCATGGTCTGGAGCCAGAAAATGGTAGCATGCCACCTCCGGGTCGGAGAGGAGGTCCTGCCCCAAGTGGAGGAGTTTAAGTACCCCGAGGTCTTGAATGAGAGAAGAATGGAGTGGGAGATCAACAGGTGGATTGGTGCTGTGTCTGCAGTGAAGCGGGCGCTGTACTGGTCTGTCGTGGTGAAGCGGGAGCTGAGCCAGAAACCGAAGCTCTCGGTTTACCGGTCAGTCTATGTTCCTACCCTCATCTATGGTCACGAGCTTCGGGCAGTGACCGAAAGAACGAGATCACGGATACAAGCGGCCGAAATGAGTTTCCTTCGCAGGGTGTCTGGGCTCTCCMTTARAGATWGGGTGAGAAACTCAGTCATCCGGGAGGGACTCAGAGTAGAGGCRCTGCTCCTCCAYGTCGAGAGGAGCCAGWTGAGGTGGCTCAAGCATCTGGYTAGGATGCCAACTGGACRCCTCCCTGGTGAGGTGTTCCGGGCATGTCCCACTGRGAGGAGGCCCAAAGGAAGAYCCAGGACATGCTGGAGGRMCTATGTTTYTCRGCTGGCCTGGGAACACCTTGGGATTCCCCCAGAYRAGCTGACCCAAGTGGCTGGGGAGAGGGAAGTCTGGGTCTCTCTGCTTAGGCTGCCGCCCCTGCGACCCGATCTCGGATAAGCGGCAGAAAACGGACRGATGGATGTACAATCCATCCAGTTCTGATGTCAACCTGRTTCAAGRTGGCCACCACTTGGGTTCAGCAGTTCTGAACCTTTTCATACGTATACAGAAACRGCTGCTTGTGAGCCCCGTGCATATAGCTTGACATTCTAGAGCCAGAGAGAGGCATGGAAAACAAAAACTCAACTATTCAGATGTGTTGCTGTCACTTAATCTTRAAGCAGCAGGGCTTTGCCCCTCATCATGTTAAATAGAAATACRTACAATTATGTCTTTATGGTTTTAAGTTTCAACAATAATCTCACTCTTACCACACTGATAAAGTCTGTATTTCCTATTAGGCATTAATAGGWATTAGGCAGCTCAGTGGTTARCACTGATGCCTCACAGCAAGAAGGTCCTTATTTGGATCCCTGGTTTGGACATGGGGTCTTTTTGTGCAAGGTTTACATGTTCTCCTCATGCTTCTGTGGGTTTTCTCCRGGTACTCTGGTTTCCCCCAAAACACAAAAACTTGTACAATAGGTTGCAAAAGAGATCTGTGATTTTAATGGGATATGCCTGGTTAAAGAACGATAAAAAAACCCCTCTGCAGCAAGGAGCTAGCAGCGGGGTCTCAAAAAAAAATAAATGAATGAAAAAAAAATGTTTGAATCCAAAAGGAGTCCAGCGATGGTGCTTTCACTTAAGAAACCTGTGACTGGGTGGTCCCCAAAGCTGTCAATCAGCACTACAGTGGCCTTCCTTTTCAGGAGTCAGTAAAGTTTCTGTCACTACCACACTCTGAGGTACTGAGGTGTGACAGATRGGGTGTCTCTGTCGCCCCTCTCCACCTCAGTTTGTCTTCTGAATGGGCTTGAGGAGTTCAGAACATGTGTCAGTAACGTTATGGGACATCTTCTGAAAGAGACTSGAATGTTTATGTCCCAGTTTTCATAGCAGCCCTCTGRAATTTGGAGCATCACCTCACATGGCTAATATACCTTCAAAACATTTTAATATCATTGATAGGTTGTAATACAATTCACTAATACACCTTCATGCTGCCTAYACCTAAAATTTGGTGTGGTAGTAGCTGAGCATCATTAAAATGGTTTAACCAAGATGGCCTAAACTCATGCATGAAAGGCAGTGTTTGCATACCTTTAAGGACTGTTTTTTTACTTTAGTTTTAATAAACTGGCCAACCTGACTTGTATTTGATGGGTTTGAAAATGTAGTACCTATTGCTTTTTTTTTTAAAAAATGGTTTTAAAATTGTTTTGAATATCTCCACCCTTTGTTCACACTGAAATATTTGTGTTTAAAGTGAGATAGAAGAAAATGTTACAACATAAATCTTTCATGCAGTTTTGTCTTTTTACTGTACACATCAGCCTTCACTGTGTTTATCCTCCCAATAGATTTTATACTTTAAAAGAACTTTAAAAGAAATCATCACTCACCAGTCCATCACATGCACTTATGGCTGCGCTCCCTTGAACAGTGGTATCGTCCCATACCTCACCCAGAAAGTGGCACTGGGAGCTACCAGGATGATGGATCTTTGCCCCATCCAGGCCACCATACCTCCTCTCAGTCACAAAGCCCGAAGCCAGCAGGTTTGGATTCAGGGTGAGGTTAAAGTGCAAACGGTGGCTGTCATGCAGGAACTGATAGAAGACTCTGTCTGTGTCTGCGGTTCTCTCCGGGGCTTCCCGACGCCGTACACGATGAGCATGGTGAGACAGGAAGTTGGACAGGAAGTGACCTCCGGCATCAACACTGACGGGGTGAACCACTTCATACGGAGGGAGGTCCTGCAGAAATGTCTCTGTAAATGCCACGGTGAGAAAAAAATGGAGAGTAAATAAACAATTAGGTGGTTGTAGAGCAGTAAACAAGACACTGAAACTCTAAACTAAACCATGTGGAGGCAGAATCGTGACATTTTCAAAAGCTACAGTCGCTCTTCTGACTTTATTTACTTCGTTGCTATTTACATCTACTTTCAAGTGCTCCAGATTTGATATGGCTTTTAAAATCTATTCTTCCATTTGATAATGTTCACAAGTTTCTCTGACTTGGTGTGGCACATGGTTGTGGGGCAAAATGTGTCTTTGTTTTAAAATGGTAAAGAAAATGTCCTGTCACAAACAGGTAAAGTGGAACGGCTGGAGTCATTCTGTAACCAGTGAGTTGTCAGTTTWATCCCCGCTCTATCCATCTCAACTGTCATGTCTTTGGGTAAGACACTTCACCCACCTTGCCTGCTGATGGTGGTCAGTGGGTCTGGTGGCACCGGTGTATGACAACCTCGCCACAATCAGTGTGCCCCAGGGCAGCCGTGGCTACATTGTAGCTTACCACCATCAGTGTGTGAATGGATGAATGACTGTAGTGTGAAGCACGTTGGAATCCGACAGGACTTGATAAGGTGTTATACAAGTTCATGCCATTTACTATTTTTCCCCCAGAACTTGAATAATAATATCCCCGGACGAGCTGGTCCAAGTGGCTGGGGAGAGGGAAGTCTGGGTCTCTTTGCTTAGGCTGCTGCCCCCGAGACCCGACCCCGGATAAGTGGAAGAAAACGGACGGACGAAGAAATCAACACTAAAAAACAATATAAAACAAATCTAGAGCTGAAGCTCAGCATTGCAATGTCTATTCTTTCATTTCATTGTTCTTTAACCTGCAATAAAAATCATTTAGAACTGTTCACTGAATAATTTTTGRAGTCAACCTGATTCAAGATGACTGCCACAGCAAAGCAATCTKAGCAAACACACAAAAAAGCTGTAATTTAGCTAATTTTACAAATTCTGAGCTAAAATGGAGTGTGGTAGCAGCTGAGCACCCCTATGCACACTTTTCATTGTGTGACATATTTGCTTAAAGTGTCTGTGACATTTATACTCTTTGAATACAAAAAGTCAAAGATAACATCTTTATATTAAAAAAACTTTGCAGAATTCACATGATTTTACCCATTTTGTCACATAGCCTAAATGGCATATTTTTTAACTTGACTTGACCAAAGTAAAACAGGAAGTGGAGAAGTCTCTGGTCTTTCTTTATTGAAACATTATTATTTGAACTCTGACACTTCATCTTGATAGTTACTCAAAATTATCTAAATATTATTCTCTATTTTCTGTGTTTTTAGCCATTTTAGCTATGCTCTGTTCACATTTAGACACTCCCCTTTGACAACACTTCCTTTTTCTTTACATGCAAATATCCCAACAATTGTTCATCTCAGCAGTGTGATTTTATTTGCAATATGTTATCAATGTTAACGCTCATTCATATTTATTACAAAACCTCAGCATTGATCATTGGAGTCAAAACTGTTACTCTGCAAAATTTCTCAAACTATTGAACAGATTTTAGTGAGACCCTCAGACAGTAATCACAGGATTTGCATCTACAACCCATTAAATTTTGAAATTAACCAAAGACAAGATGGCTGTCACACCAAGTTGACCTTTGTCTACACAAAAATAGCAACATCTCAGTAAATTCTTCACACATACTCCAAGAGTAACAGATGACACAAGATATGTATCACACAAAATGACACACATTGTTATTTTTGAGGTTTGACTGATACGAATTCATCATTTCTCAGCAACAGATGCTCTTAATCTGAAAATCTGGCATAAACAGAAGGAGGCAATATGCATTCTGTCTGTGAAGGCCAGGACAGAAATGCTGCTGCTCTGCTGGTAAAAACCGCAGAGCTCCTCAGACTCCTAAGGTTCTGATTCTTACCCTCGCAGCAGGACTGAACCAATGTGGAGTCAGATTATTAAAATTAGAAACATAGCATGAAACGTTTTGGTAACTTTTCTTGTTGAAAGTAAAAACATTCTTTGTGAAAATATCTTTCAGATATTGAGGTTTCTAAAAAGTCAACACTGAGTATTTTGTATAAAAGCATTTGTGTTTTTGAACATCTAAGCTTCTCAAAAATACTGAACAGACTGTTTTGTAACATTGTGTTTCTTCAGTTTAACTTGGACAGCAGGTTTCCTGCAGCTTTATAGGCACCAAAGACACTCCTTTGTRATGCTCCTTTCTTATTTCTTCAGAGAACTTCACAGAATTTACAACAAGCTGTGAGAGAGATGAGGTGAAATCACTTTATAACAGTCTGTCTCTGATAAATAAACAGTACTTCATCAATATATATGCTTTTATTGTACCTTCAGATTAAGGATTAAGATTTTACAAATACACAGCTGAGATTACCAAACCATATCCTATACTCTCAACAGGAATTATTATAAATTAATTTTACTGTGCTCTTCTCAGCTTGTTGACTTTTAACAGAAAACTCTGTTTTATATTATATAATTACGATTAAGGAACAAACTCAACTAAATAAATTAAAAACGCAACATGTTTTGTGTTAAATCATCTTGAAGAAAAGATAATTGAAGTTAATTAAAACGAATGCAACTTTCCCTTACGTTCATAAAATTAAGAAATTTGGTGGGAAAAAAACGTGGCTAAGAATGTCAGTCTGACAAGTAAAACTACAAAATATTAGAGAAAACACACTTTGCACACAACACAAAGTAAATTTCTCATGATTAGTATTCTCCTCTGTCATCCCAAAACATTAACCTTTTTCAACCTTTCCTCTGCCCGATGCTCTCATTTCACATCTCATTGAACAAAGTGATGCGTTTTCTTTGATTCAGAGTTCGATCCTGCCCAGTAAATTGAAACTTTTTTGTTTGGAGCCGCCTCACTGAGAGACATTCTCCTAAACACTTCAGTCCCAATTTCTCAAAAGTTTTTTTTTAATCTGTGTGGAAATGCTCCTATTTAGTTTTAATGAGGATGCATTTATTTCTCAGTCAGTTTCCAATTAAGATCACCCCTAATTGTTTCTTTAATTACATTTCTTCCTCAGAAGCGACAGTTTATCACCGTCCTCCTGTGTCTGAGTATTTTTCGGTTGTTCTGCAGGCTTGATGCAGACCAATAATTTGATCCTTCTGAATCTGAGTCACATCTTTTCCACGACCACAGGATGTGCGTTTGCTGACATGATAGTTTTGTTAATGAAAAGCTTCTTTCAGCATCAGCTAACATGCTGCCTGCTGAAATATTTTAATCATTGCAATGCTTTCCAGTGGGAGGCTCTTTTCTAGAAGCTTACCTCAATGCAGATGGGCCTTTTTTTTATGTTCAGTCTGTTGAACTTGAGCGATCATCTTCATTTAATTACACTTTAATTCACGCGTAACTCTGCACACCCCAAATGTTTTGAAGGGTGTTTCGTATTTAGCAAAAATCAGTGTGTTCAACATTATGCAACCAATTTGAG